CCATAGAATAATCAGGGATTTCCTTCAAGATTCTTACCGCCTATTTATTACTTACCTACTTTTTTCGTGATTGTTAACTAGTTTACTGTGATTGAAATTTATCTTATGTCTACTGCTCATGGAGTATTTATTAGTCATCACTTATGGTCCAGTAAATTATTAGACCCGATTCAGTGGATATCTATTATTTGAATTTATTAGTTCATTTATTAGCTTTGATTTTAATTAATGGAATTTATCAAAACTGATGTATAATTTCTTTTTTATCAGTGAGGAAGATCATTGACAGAATCTGTCTAAAGCATAGTACTTTGTACATTACCCTATTATATCCTTTATTTATCACAACTAATAACTGATCCAAGTTTCAATATATCTATTCTTTAATTTACTAAATAAATAGTATTTGTTTAATTGTTTATTTGGCGATTTGTTAAACTATCATTTTTATGTTCGAAATATATTTTATTATGTTACTTCAAATATGATTGTAACTGATAACATTTTCAAATTCTATTCCAATACTTGAAATAAAAGGATTACTTAGCAGTAAGATGGATGGCACCAGAGTGTTTGATGACAACGAAATGTTATACTTCAAAATGTGATGTTTGGTCTTATGGGATTCTGTTGTGGGAATTATTCAGTTTGGGTAATTCACCATACCCTGGATTGGATAATGGACAACTAATCAATTGGTTAAATAATGGAAATCGTAATACTAGACCATACCTATCCACCAACTCAATCTACCAGTTGATGCTAGAGTGCTGGTCACAAGATCCCGATAGTCGACCAAGATTTTATGACATTTGTAACCGAATTTCTGAAATGAAATCCAGTTATGATGACCCGAAAGAAAACAATGATTCAATGAAGGTATGTTAACTTTTGCATATCTTTTGGCTTCATAATGAAAATGTTGCTTTGGGGTTGTAATAAGCGGTAATGTTCAGAATCAGGTGTGTCGTGTGTAGACGAACTGTGCGTACATTTTACTGTATATACATTCATCGATTCATTTAGAAATTGAGATTGTCGGCTTATTTGTTCACTTTTTTTTATCATTTCATACGTAGGGATACGTTGAATTAATGTTGGAGCACGAAGATTACTTGGAACCGCGACAGTATTTACACTAGGCAAAAAGAAACCAACTTTCATTTCACAAGATTATAAATTTATGTACAGTTACTTTTATTACTATCATTATTATTATTATTACCATTTTTATTATTATCATTATTATTTTTATAACTATCACTATTAGTAAAACTACTATGATTGCAAATAATCTAGTACTCCTTTTGGATTTTTATTGTGTATCTGTTTCACCATGTATTTGTATATGTTCTTGTGTGTTATGTGTGTGTGTATATGTCTTCTTATTTATTCCATTTCCTAAGCAACATATGTAAATGATCACATTTTTCATAGACTCGAAATATTTGCCAACATATTTTTCTATTCATATTTTGTATGAAGCTAACGACTCCTTTTCTTCTTTAGATATAATTATCTATTATTATTATTATTATTATTATTATTATTCCCAGTTTCCCTTTTAATATGTAAACCTTTTTCAATGTACTTTATTGTTATACTGATAATACTTACTAGTTGGAGGGGGATCAAACACTTTTTTAAAGCAAAATTATATTATCGCTTTTATGAATACCATATTTTTAAATAAATTAACGTATACCATTTTGTATTACTGATTATTACTATTGTTATTATTATTATAAATATTACATATTTCTACTTCAATTTTAATAAGATAAACGTGTTATATTGAAATAAATGTGTTGTCTATTTTGTTGAATCGGTGACACAGACTGTTATTCACAGATCTATGTATCAATCTTATATTTGCTGAAAAAAAATTATTCGTTCACCTGTTAATTTTTCTTGAAAAATTTTCGACCGAGCATTTTCAAATAATTACGTCGGCCATATCAGTTTATTTCCAGAATGAATTTCAACGTCAAACAACATTGACAAATTAGGTAACTTTCAACTACTTTAAAGCTCAAACAGCTAAGAATATATAGAAACCCTAGAGTCAGTAGTTCTTCAAATACGATTGACTTCATAACTAAATTAACTAATGGAGGCAATACGACTGAGTAAACGCGTATTCCTCATGCATTAGCAGGTGAAACCGGAGTTTTAGTTATTAAATTCGTATCCAATAGCTCCGTATAATTCACGAAGCCATAAGGGCAAATAAAGGTTGAATAACGATATATATATCCACCAAAAAAGACAAAATATACCTAGTTAGCGTTACTTTTGAATGAAGAATAGTCTTGAAGTAAAAAGATTATGTGAGGTATACACTTCAACAGTTACTAAGTAACACATTCGAAAATTATAATGTAGATAGCCCCCAAAAGCCCTGATACGGCCGAGAGTGGGGAAATGCTCTCACATAGCCACGCGTATATAGCCTCTGCCAGGGAAGTCCTACTCACTGCCTTCTCGTGATGGGGGTGTTGTTTAAGAAACTGAGAGGACGAAAATCGAATGTCCGGCGCTTTAACAGGGTTGGTGGACATGGAGAGTTCACCTAGGGCAGTTGAAAAACCCTGATTACAAACCAATGGTGCACATGTGCTCCAGTATCCTAAAGGAGCAAATGGCATATGAACCAATTGTTGGTCACCGGCTACCATGGGACTACATCTCCGTACGTTGCTCCACTGCCTTGTGGGTCAGGCCTTCCGGTCGAAGGCTGCGGGTGTGGCCCCCTAAGGAAACCACCTGCTTCGGTTTGGGAACCCGGGCAGTATCACTTCCGTCACACATATCAAATGAGATTTGTTTGGCGCATATGTATTTGGTGCCTCCTTGTACCAATATATATGTGTTAAAATAAATAAATAAAATAAGAGAGCACATCACATTACTGACGATAGCGCTCTTCCTGTGTTGTTATGCTGTCGAACTATTATGAGCTTTCCCTTACTTGTTTGCCACAAGTTAAAATTAGTATTGGTACTAATTCATTTAGAACGACTGTCCTAGTTTCCTTTGATTATCCACAAGAACCAATAAGTCGTTAAATACTTTTATATATTTGGCAGTAGCCTATGTATTTACTGTTGGGGTTTGTCGTTATTATCTATTATCAAGAAATATTCTTAAACCAAAAGACTCTCAAACTGACGGAATCTATCGAAGCAGTTACACATGTGTTTGTATCATGAACAAACATTACAGTCACTTAATACAGTCTTCGTACTCCGTTTTAAAAACCGGAGATATTAGGATATTTCGGTAAAGGAAGATTCCTCATTGAATAGAAGACAAGTAGAGTGAAGTAATATTTATCAACTGGTTTTCCGTCACAGTTTTACACTAATTTATATACATATATATTCGGAACCTATGCGCAAATGGAGGGGAAACTTCACAAGCCTAATTACTCGACACTTAATTGATAATGCGTTTTGTAAAGGCCTTTGAAATAATGAACATACAATGAACAGATTTTTCAATTTTGCTTTTAAGAAGCTAATCCTATTAATTAATCTTTTCAGATGCGACGAGTTATTTTCAGTCTAGTTTCGATAGTTCATCTCAGCTGGAGGATTGTAAACCTATGTTCCTAATTGTATTTCCGAAAGTAAATTTAGGCTGTTCATACCTGATGAAAATCAAGGAAATAAAATAAATTCATTTGATTCAAGAAATTCTGCCGTTCTTGTTTCTTTGAAAATCTTCATTAGACACAAATTTTTGAACTAGCCAGATTAATTCTAAAAAAACTTATCGACGTCGCTCTAATGGTAAGGGTAAATGTGAAGGAGAGTTATAAATGTAAACATGGGGATAAGAAATCAAATCACTATATTTAAATGCTCAGCATTTGCACTACTTTATAATAGAAAGTAGTATGAAAGAGAAGGAAGATTTTTATGATTTGATTCCACTGAATATGTGAACAAAGCAATGATGAGATAATTTACCTGACCTACGAGTGGAAATAATCCTCATATCCATAATAGGTAAGCATATCAGTATCTAACCAAATTTATTTTCTAGATAAAGGGAGAAAAATAAAGTATTTGGAATAACAATTCTAAATCCTTTTCTTTTTCGTTACTTTAAAATCATTCATACAGATCAAGTAAGAAGTACATACGGGCACCTTTTCCATCATTGATTGAAATGATCTGGAAAATGATTCTATCCATGTCCGTACAATGAAACAAACGACTTCAGTACCTTCAATGTATTATTCCATGAAATTCTCATATATAATAATTAATTTACAGTGTTACACCAAAAAGTACAAAAACTAACATACAAAGTTTCTGATTGCATTCATTACCAGCAACATTTCTATAAATGAATATTGTACAAAAGCTTTTGGCTTTACTGAGTCAGATTGTACGTGTTCTTTATCTAATGTAAACGGGTCCACATTCAATCATAAGAAACCAACACTACGACGAACAAACAAGTGGAATCATTGTGACGCTACGGATGTTACATGTTCCAATAAATTGATTCAATAATCAATAATGTTATCCAGTAAAAGTTAGTAAATATAGAGCAACAGTTTATAAAGATCATTCCTCCCATTATATAATAGATAACGTATTACCAATGTTAAATATCCATGGGATAGTAGAGAAGCTTTGTAACTCAAACTGATACTTCAAAGTCAACGTATGACTGATAAAGTGGGCTAGTGCAGAAATATCACGTTGCTGTGTGCACATGCTAGCTTAAGGTCAAACAATAGGTAAGATATGTGGAAGGAGACATACGCATGTGCGTACGTATTAGTCGTGTACACTTTGATTCGGTCGTCAGCTAGAGCTCCCCACACATTCCTAGTCTTCTCACTCTTATACCAGACTGGGGTTGATATGGAGAGTATGTATGTATGTGTGTGGTTGGGTAACCGAAGAACATAACACTGATATTATTGTCCACGATGATAATTAAATCTTACTAAGTTGTCTAACATACAGAATTTATCACCACTAAAATTTAGGTAGCCATGAATGTATATCATGAACAACTTTTCAGACAAAAAGGTTCTAAATAAGTGTTCAATAATCTGGTGTTCATCAAAAAGTCCAATAATTTTTTATCCATCAAATGTTTTTGTTCTCACTTATTATTAACAATAAGAAAAAGGAACATTGGTAATTCATAAGTGTATACAATAAGTGTAAGTGTACTTATTCGTTTGTATCTGTCTGCGTGTGTATTAGTATACGTGTGTGTTTATGTATAATTGCGTATTACAAACATAATCAAAGGATAGTAGTTGTGGTAAAAAATGAAGGCAATTAGAACAAAAACACACAACAATCAGGTGGGAAATTTCGGATATCCATTTCGATTTATATTCCTATTTCTTTTTAGATTCATAATATCATTATGAATATAGCATTATAAAGTATTCATTGAACAATTGCAAAAGAGAATATTTTAAATACTAACATTACAAATATGTATTTATATAATTTGCAGATGTATGTATGTATAATATATACATGTGTTTTGATATACAAAAGAATGTGCACATACATATGTTATTTTCTTTCACTTTAGAATAATCTTGTAATGTTGACTTGTTCATCACGGTCATTCATAATTAAACTTAATGACTATTTACATTTAATTAGTGTTCAACTCAAACATTACTGACGAAATAGTACTTGTGTACAAATGAAATTGAATACGAAGATAGTGTGTATATGTTAATAGAGTATCAGTTGTAAACGTCCTTGTCCAACATTATATCAATAGTCCTAATGGTGGTCGTAATAGTAGTAATATTAAACACAATAAAAATGATCATGGTTTTAAATGCATCACAGTTCATTCTTAAATTAAAAAAAACAACAACTGATTGAAATGTATTAAGTGGGTTAAATACTGTGAAAATGATACTTGCGAAAACAGTGAACAACCAAATAAAAATCTATAACTTTAGTGAAGAGATTTATACTACTATGTAGTAGTTTGACATAATTGTAATTGTAAATTTAGGAAGTGGTATTATTTTAAACATGATCTAGGTGAATCATTTTCTCTATAAAATTTCCAGTTCCTCATAAATAGCCTGTAGCACATGCTATTCGAAGGCATTTGTTTGATTTCATTGCGCACATCATTTTCAAAGAAAATCGAGTGTTCCACGATCGCTTTCGTATTTACATGTCGTAATATCGGCCAAAAATAATACTCTTCAAATTTCATATAAACAGCCCGGTCAATTAGTTTGTTAGCTAATTTAATGTCACGTGCTAAGAGCTTTTTAAATGTTGCTGGCTCCAAGTTACCCATGAGACCAAAATGAAAATTATTCTTGGAATGAATTACTTCTGGTGAGTAATTTGGTAGATATTGTCTTAATATGAATGAGGCTTGCCTCAACTTTTTTGACGATGGACATTTGATATGTAAATAGTGAAATAATTTCATAACCCGTGGGTTCTGTAGCCAATTCCGTTTTTGTTCGCCAGTCCACTGGACTATATCCTGTACAATTTCAAATAGATCATAATATATCTTTGTTTTCAGTTGTGTTTCATAAAATTTAACTAGTATTCTATCATCACTATCATTACCAACAGTGTTTATTTCGAACGATGATTTGAAACTCAACGAACAATTGTCCACTTGGTAATTGGACACTGAATCTGTAATGTAGGTTAATCTAATTGTCTGGCGCCATTTATAGTCCAGAAGCATCAACCACTGATCTAGCAGTTCCGCTAGAGTATTTGATGTTACCTTATTAATATTATACTTATGATTAGTCATTGAATGTTTGTTAATAAGACGTTTGAAATCCCAAAAGGCTTGTCTATATTTATCTAGGATTTGTAAACTCATAAGCAATTCCGTTTGTACGAGTTTTGCAAGTTTATTTTTCAGCATGCTACAGTGCTTAAGTTTTGCTTTGTGATGCAGTGTGTTGAAGTGATAGGCAGGCGCTTCTAAAACTAACATTTCTTGTGAACCTATTTTCACAGTATTACTTGAGGATGATGGAGATATTGTTGAGGTGCTATTTACGTCCGATTGATTGGAACCTTCTTTATGCATTGAAACGAAACGTTGGAAACTTGAGGAGTTTCTTTGTTTTTCAATAACAGCTAGTAACCCTTTTGGCTGAAATCCATAAACTTGCCACGTCGCTTCAGGTTGCCACAGTTGATGAGTCCAACCGGAAGCTAATGTATAGGATTTCTCATCAATTACATTTAACGTTGGAGACGTTCCATCATAGATTGTTGCGTTAGTAAATGAATTAAAAAGGAAGTGTTTTTGAGATTCGTCGGTGATGTCGTCTTCAGTTAGTCGGCGTTCAAAGCCTATTCCATGCCTTGATGCTCTGAGGTGCCATTCACAGTTATCGGTTAGTGTCTGGTTAATTATACGCTGTGTAAAGAAGACAATAAATGATGAGTAAATGTACATGAAATAAACAACTTCTCATTATATGGCTTCAATGGATATTGAGTGTGTAAATATTTGAATTAAAAAAACTTTCAAATTCTCCTACTTTCTATTTGTTTTGTCAAGTCTTCTGAAGTTTTATCAAGCTTTTTTATCAAACCTGAGAACGATAAATACTACTCATTACGAGTGCTCACCCTAATCAGTTTTTCAGGAATCGATAACTTAATCGGATTTCCAGTGAACGTCGAGAGTACATAGAATATGTAGTCCAGTCGGAAGAGTAAACCGGTTAAATCCATAGTCTTTTAAGATTAACATTTAAATACCAAAACAGAGACTCGCATTTGTGTTGCACCTTAGAAGAATGAGATGATACTTTACGAATGAACGAAGTGGATCAATTCAGCGAAATAGTAGTTGAGGTAGTAAAGTGAATTGGACGTTTACAAACTTACATTAGCCTTGATAGATTGGTACCAAACTAATGATTGATATAGAATCAGATTATTGACACTTTCCAACTTATACTCCATCATCAAACAAATTTAAGGTTGACTAATTCCTCAATAAATGATGACTCAACTCAATGCTCATTAGTCACTTACTACCACATGAATATTCTGAAGTGTTATTTAAATGTCATCGCTCATTAAATAGATTGAAAGAAGAGTAGGGTCGTTCAACACTATTCGTGAACTGTTGAAATCTGACCATGCAGCTGAATAGCATAACTCCTGCTTAGGTCTAGGCACCCGGGAAGTATCACAGTCCACACACAAACCAAGTGACTTTTGTGGCGCATATATATTCTGATATGATGGAAAGAAAAGTCAATTTTCGATTGATTTACTCACTATGAGTTTAGTTCAAGATTACTTCCATTTTGACTCAATGTAATGATTACTCAATGTAGTATTTGTTCTCTTTTCTCGTATGATATTTTATTCTGTATAATATGCGATATTCTTGTATTCCATTGACATGAACTATGCTCAGTATGTGATTTGTTATAAATGTGATTTCATTCTAATTATTAATCAAAATGGGTGTACAATCGATGTATAAATGAGTGTATTTTCTACTAGGGTCGTCATGTTTTGGGGTTAATAAATCATCACTTATACCAGTCTTTATGTTCTTACTTCCGCGTCGTGTGAACTGCAGAGGTCCCTCGTTCCGAGTATAAGTGGTAAGCGTTTCCGACATAACAATCAGCGACAACCAGATACAAAAAGTAGCATTAAAAGAGCCAAGACAATAAGCATTCAAACGACAAGTTATAACATATTCGGTGCCTGTTGGTACCAAATGAATAATAATCGCATAACTAAGAAGCTAAAGCAAAACAGAATATCACTGATTGCGTTTCAGTTTATAGTATTTATCCAGTTGGGATCAGTAAGTTGAAAACACTGCCTATTCTATTCAATATTTTCATAACAATTCATGCAGATATCTGTACAAGGTCAGTGATTCTTAAATTACCAAAATGTATTGAGGCAACTCCATAATTAAATAGTTACATACCTCTGTATAGACTGTCCCATTCAGATGCATACATATACATATGTTTTTGGCAAATTTACGCAGGATTACTCGCGATCCATCACGTGGTTGTAGTAATTTTTTTAGTAAGTTGTCTTTGTTCATTGGCGTTGACCACTCAGCAATTATCGAAATCGTAATCAGTGCTAGTTGGACAGGAGAAAGAAGGACAACAAAGTTTAGCGTTGCAAACATATATACACAAGAAAGAAACGCAAAGACAAAACGAATATGGTTTCACAAATATTGGAGTATGTCAGTTATTTCTTAACAACTATTTCGTTCCCTTGGAGAAACCAACAACAGGAAAGCCAAAACAAAATGAGATAATGTACTTTCACCTAATTTTCACTGACTCACTAGTGTCTGTCATTTTCTAGTTGTTGGACGGTTTAAATGTCAACATGACAGACTGTTAGTGATGCTTACATGGGAAGAATATTAACCGATTTAGAGAATTTAAAAGGAATAAAAGTGACTGAAAACACTGATTTCAGCAAACATGCGCAAGGTGTCAAGTTGACATCTTATTTAATTGCTTTGAAAGTAAAAAAGATACAATTGAGTAAATTGTGATACTCAATGGTAAAAATTAGGCTTCTTTTAAGGTGTTATTCACAATGAAATAGATTCAGATTCGGATATACCATGAACTTAAGTAACTAATGAATGTTGTTAGATATAAGTTAGTAGCTGGCCAATAAGTTTAGCCAGAATATCCAGAAAACCTGATTCGACTTACTTGAAGTGTGCGTTTCCCATTGTTCGTTAATAGCTCTCATGAGACCGTGACAAATGTTATGAGTTCAAGTCCTATTGCTTCGGGATAATCTGAGTTGGTAAGGAGCTAAAATATGAACAACAACACTGGAGTGCAGGTGTGTTTGACTGAGAAATCCCGAATAAGAATTAGTGCACGTCCTAGATTCCACTATTAGTCACAGTCCAATGTACTAGGAACGTGTAATTAGAAGGTAATATCGAGGCATCCATATAGGATGTGTACATACCAACAGAGACTTATAAATTGGAGTCCTGAATAAGGACAAGGTGAAATCACACGACCTTACTAATTAACCATTTCGAAGGGTAAGCGAGCGCTTCTTGTTTAATGATAGAACTAAGACTCTTTAATTCTCAATACTTATCTAATTAATCTTAATGTTTTATGGTTAACATCTTCAAATTTCAAATGGAAATTAATTATCCACTAACATGAGATGAAAATAAATACATCAAGTAAGTGAATCCACACATTTTTCTGATCAATCAATTAATCAGTTTGGGAAATTCTCATATTCATTATCGATGGGGCGGTAGTTAGTTGATTATCATGATGAGTTGTTATAATGAAGTGTTGATCTGTGGAGTTGACCACATGGGGAATATGATAGTTGTTCTCAGTCGAATTGAATAATAGTCACTCATTATGATAAATCAGTTGAGACTGAAAACGTGAACCGTTGGATTTCAAGTCAGTGGTCTTAAAGTATTATTCCCACTAGCAGACGTTTAGGTCCTGGATTAGATCTCATATGTGGTCTTAAATAAAGGTTGTTGAGAATACGAAAGTTGTGACAAAACAGTTATTCAACGCACCATTGGTTATCAACGGTCCTTCACTTGGTGCTAGTCCGTGATGTAAGCCAATGATAATTCATCTTACAAAAAAGAAGAATACTCACATGAATAAATACTTGTTAAAGTATCTACAACTACCAACGAAGATAGTGGCTGACATGTAGGTATATAGAGAAAAAAGCAAATTGCAAACAACTAAACAAATCAAATCCCCACTCATAGTTTTTGTTCACTTTTGTCAAGCCAGTTTCTTGTTTTGACATGTTTCCTTAATTTCTGTCATTCGATAATAAATTTCAGAAAAAAAGACCACCACTTTATAGCAATAACTTTGGTGCATATTTTATTTTAGTTCAATATGCTGGTTCTAAAACTGTACAAGTAATAAATAAATGGGCATGTTCAATAATAGGCGATTGAGTTGAGGGTAATGTGGATCTTTGTGTTTATCTAATATAGTAACAGCCATAAAAGATAACACATTCTTTCTGATAATCGTGATAAAGATTTTGAAACATGGTAATAATTTCGTTTCCATAAAATAAATGAAACTTATTTAATATATTTGTTGCTATAATTATGAGTGTATGAGTGAATGATACGATAGATAAGCTTACATTCATTTACAGATAGATTAGGAATTTGTTTTATTTTAGGTTGGTCACTTGTTAGTTATGAATGGAAATAGCTTTATCCGAAAGTAATTTTAGATTAATAAAATTGTATAACAACTAGGAAATATTGACCAATCTCTACCTTCCACCCTATAACAATCATGTACTCAGTACTGATTAGTCCCTACAAGAAAATTTCCGGTGCTGAAAAATCTCTGGTGTGAGACAGGAATCACGAATTGACTGGAGTTACGAATGTAAAATATTGGGTAGTACTGATTCAGTGATCTGAAGGTTAACCAGTTGCTGTGATGGCCGAAGATTGTGAACTCGATCTAAGCATGTGTTGTTGATATACACTTAGGAGGAGTTCCGTAGTAGAACAAAACAGTTATCCAGTGCCTGCCTACCTTAAATAATTCATTAAACGAAGTCAACCAGCGGTGTAAACTACAAAATTGAGGGAATATTGGTCAGTTAATGCAACATGCACCAATCAAGGACATTCACATTGAGCGCTGAACAGTTAAGTCTACTTAAGCAATAATTTAAATTACAAGTCTATTGACTAATTTTGAAATGATGGAGAAAATTTGTAGATTAGGTGGATGCTTTGGAAGGTGTTTCATTCTCAAGGGGTTTGTTTGTTTGTGAAGCTTCCATCGTTGTTGTGGACAGCATCACCAGTGTTGGGAAGACGAAGGAGAATTCACAACTAATAACTAACGTTTATTTAAACGTAAACTAACTTTTGTGGTCACCAGATTAAAAACAAATAGACTGTTCAGTATGTTTGTCTGGTTATTAGAGTTAAAAAATTGTCGTATTTGAGTAGAACAAAATCGTCAATTCGTTGTTCCTTGAAGTTATGGCTTGATCTCATTACAGAACCACTGTTCAGTTAAATGAGAGACAAGTGTATTAGTTTTACATCACGACCCCATCAACACAGAATATGTTCGGAATTATGTTTGCAGTCGAAGACGAATGTTTTTGATCTCTTTAATTGAAGATCATTTGAACTACTTATAAGTATACCAGATGTCATGACTAATAATTTTGCATACAAAACATCATATTATTAAAGAAAATCTCTCAAAAAGTATTACTGAGGCTTCAGGCAAAAGACTAGCTGTGTTTAGAAATGGAAAGTGAAGTAAACACTACTCCATATGGAGATCTATTTGGGAGTTGGATTTTGAGAATACTCTACTGTTTGCGAGTAGTCAAGTCGCGGAATTCCCCACCATCTGAAATGGCCCAAACAACTTCCACAGAGTCTTTCAGGAAGAAAGTTGATGTGTTCTTAAAGACCTAGAACAGCACCCCATACTGATTTACTGGTATTTCTATCAGTTGTAGTTGTTTTATAAACCTAGGCCCCTCTCTATCTGGAGTAATCAGTGATCCATTGCTACTAGACATGATACCTGGTTCAGAGAAGGGCAGGTATTTGAACCACATAACAATCTCAGAAGTCAACTTGTTTTAACACACCATATTGACCGGACAAGGATTTAGAAGTATCCACTATCCTTTCGACTGTTATTTTTAGTCGTTTAGAGAGTTTTCGATCAATTGCCATTAACTTGGTTGTTTCAGTTTTTGGAAAGAAATATTAACTGACAAAAATCAATGGTTGTTCCGTGAAAAAGACCTATACATTATATATAAACATATGTCTAATAATAATAATAATAATAACAATAATAATAATAATCTGAAACTAATGTGAACACATCATAAATACAAATATCACTTAAATAATCGTTTTATGAATTTCCCAAATCCTATTTATAGAAATATGTTAATAAGATGCAAGTGTACTTTTTCTTTTGAGTTAATTTCCATATGATTAGAATATTACATAAACAAATAAACGTCTGATTAGTGTAAATGATATTTTTCCAAAGAAGAATATTTTTTATTTCAGTTGAAAGATAAGCTGTGTAGATCTCTTCATGGTCTATCATACGACAAGATGTTCACAACTATCAACAAAAATAAAGCAAGCAGACAGTAGGAATTAGTCAATTCAAAATCTAGTGTATCTACCGAATGTATATGAATGCTATATATTTTGATTATTGTTCTAAAAGACATTTATCCAGTCAACACTTTGATCAATCTATGCTCGAATGGAACAAAATCTGTCTGGTTAGTTAGTACGATAAAAGGCTAAATTGATACATGATGTCCATTCATATAATAGTTTGTGAAATAAAGAGGGAATGAAGAATATGATTAAAATTATAAGAAACCATACATAACGGTTAGGGTTGAATAAGGGATCTTCTAGATTAGTGTTCCTAAATTAATTATCATCCTTGTATAATATTTCTTCTAAGAAGAAACCATTGAAATTGTACTTGGTCTTATCAACAAGATTTCAACTAGGAAATCCACTAGTTATGCACTCAAAGTCATATTGTATTTCTATGGTCCATTCGATACCTGTATCACGATTTCCGACACGCTCTGAAGCTGTCGTGGGGTGGATAATCTAGGTGGGTAATTCACAGAGACCTGTATACCCATGAACGTAAATCAACTGGAAGGTCGCTGAGTTATTGTTTCTACTTAGTTTGTTGCCCTTTTCTAGTGTGCGATCACAGCCACACATGAATTCACTTAAATGTAACCAATCTCAAGCTAATTAACCATTAGTGCTGATTACGTTACGAAACACTCACTAGGTAAAATGACCTGACATAATAGTGCATGCCGTTTGGTGTTAGCGAGTGAAAATAAGCGACAGGAAACACTGGATATCACAGTCAGATATGTTGTTACTGAGCTATATGTAACTCAGATTACCAATTGTAGGACTGTGACATTTACACACTGAGTGATTGCATCATCACAACCACTGCTGTTTTGTCTAGTTCTAACTGCTGATTTTCAAACACATAACGCAACAATAGTTTCAGACTATGAATTGTTCAGAAAAT